AAAAAGCAAGTCAAAGTTGAAAATTCCGCTCGCTCAGTTATCACCGTTTCATATGGATCTCGTAAGTTTTGCTAGCACATACACCCAAAACCCAGGACTTTTCATAAACGCACTACGGCTTCTACAGACTTCCTATTTCGACGTGTTCCAGTTCAGTGAGGCGTCGCTAGATAGCTCATCGTCCTACAATACATTCCAACTCTCTGTCTGAAGCGTAAAACATTTGTAAAATACATACATGTTATCATGTAAATTATACTGTTTATATGGTGAGTTGGCTAGATTTCACTGAATTGAAAATCACTGACGCTCTGCGAAGCTTCAACGTAGCAGTAACAATGATAGGAAATGCTTTTATTTAAGCAAATTAACGAAGTAGCAAAATAGACAAGAACACAAAAACAGCCTGTATAGAGAAATTTATATATCACTTCGCCGAATTGTGCTCGTTGAGTCGCACATCTACTATTTAACTAAGAGAGAATCACATTTTCTCTCAATATTGCCGACTTCATAGGTATTTGATTCTAATTATACATATGAATAGATGATATAATGATATCGGCAAAAATTTTGAGGGAATTCTAGAACTTTAAGATCAAATTCTGCAGTGTGACGAACTTGCACTCGCACTAACTGATAGAGCTTCTAAGCTATTTAACGACTAAATTTATCCCCATAAACTATGGGCCTGTCAACTGAGAGCTTCTTTTGACATATCATGAGCATATATAAGAGAATAAGCAGGAAACATACGACATGCTACAAACCCCGTAATTATTGAGAATGTAAAAATCAGCAAATATAATCTTGAAAATATTGAACATTTCACATAACTTCCGCAATAAACACGTTATATACAATAATAATGAGGCATCTTCTTGTATATAGGCATTTGAGAATTGTAAACAATAAAGTACTTGCACAATGGTGAAAACGTGGTCGTAACATGTGAGGATTAGGAGGCGAAGTAGATCGAGTAGTTTTAGTGATAGATAGAGACAGATCAATAATTATACTATCTATACAAAATCAAAGATCTCGCAGATCTATTCATGCAGGAGACGTTCGACATCGGTTGTGTCAAGTTCACGAGTGAGCGTCAGTGCTTGACATGTTACATCACCGACCGCGCTTAACCGCTCAAGCAAATGCCTGTAGTCTGCAGCAGCAAGGACACTATCATTACCATCCAATGAGTACAGAAATCTGGAATTTTGAAATCTTCAACAATAGGATTACATGAGGGTAGCCTGTTCATAGGAGGCTAAGAGGATTGGAGCATAAGAATAAGCACAGGCTGGTGTATGACTGTTGTTGTAGTACTACCAGATACAGGCAAAGATAAGCGTTTTCTCTTCTAATTGGAATT